GCTGGTTTCTTGCTACAGAAATTATTAGTAATATTGCTAATCAGGCTCTTTAGGACTTCCTTTAAGGCTTTTGAAACATCGCATCTTTTACAAGTTTTGCTACATTTTATGTCACTGATTTCAAATGATCTTTCTTAAAATAGCCGTGACATTCAGGTGTCATGCAGATTTTTGCCTTTAAAGAGAGAACAGGGTAGAAGAAGAGAGTTTAGTAGCCATAGAGAATAGGAAATGTGAAAAGACGTGAAATTTGTCCTCTGCTGTAAAACACAACATTAGATAAGCAGCAAGACACTCTCATTTTCATAATAACTTTCTGGATTGTGTCTCACCCTGTTATATAAAAAAGATTATGAAAGATGTGTCCTGACTTCGTGGAAATAAAGGCAGCACAATCAAGCTATTGTGTGCTAATCTTCTCTCAATAGTTAAGCACACTGTTTGCCTCTCTGAGAAAGAAAGGGCTCAGGGTAATTTTAGATTTCTCCTTTGTCAAAGAAAAATGATTAAAATGGCTTAAAATTTTGGTTAAAAAATTCAGAAAAAAGTATTGCTGGGTAATAACCTGTCATTTAGATGTTAAAAGTTTTGGCCAACTGTCATTCCTAGAAAAAAAAAATTAATGGATTAAAAACCCAATGATGTACTTGGTCGTAATCTTAAGAGATTTCTTTTTCCTAAAGAGATTGTTTAGTTCTGTCTTTGTATGCTAAAATATCTTTTTCATAGATTGTATTTCACCGTTAGGACTATGGTATTGGGCATCGGAGGGTGAAATTTAAGAAACGAATATCTTACTGTTAAAATAAATCAGGCCATTTAAATTGGGGGCATAATATTACTCTTGAATTTTCCTATTTCTGTATATTCTAAAGTTTCTTTTTTGTTGATCACTAATTGAATGGGTTGGATGGTGATAGTGTTGACATCCCTGAACTAGTGGGGTAGTCTTTGAGTTCCATTTATTTCACTTGATGACCTACATGAATGCTAATGTGTATATTTAATAAATGATTCTTGTCTCAGTTTTAATACATACCTTGTGCATTTCAGTGTCACAAGCATATCAAGAGCCCTACGGACTTCGAGTGGCTGAAACAGTGCAGGTTTTATTTTAACGAAGATTCTGACAAGATGATGATTCACATCACAGATGTAGCTTTCGTATACCAGAATGAATTTTTGGGCTGCACTGACAGGCTTGTCATAACTCCACTCACAGACAGGTGACGGGAGGATTTTGTGATTCCGTAACCCTGTGTGCCCCCATCTCCTCCCCCATTTTCATTCTTTAGAGCTGTTCAGGGGATTTTTGCTTAATGAATCTTTAGGGTTTCTAGGCTCTTTTATACCAAAGACTTTGAAATTCAGTATTTTTAGCTTCACACCTATGTCTTCACATGGGATTTAGGTTTGCCACTGAAACAGACCTTGTTTTCTTTGTTTTCAGTCTTACAGAGATGAGGTTTAAATGTCTCCACGGGTGTTGAATGGTCAAGAAAGAGAGTTAATTACCGTGTGTCACTAGGTGCAAATCACAGTGGGCCTTGAGGTCTGCTTTAGTGTTTGTTGTCATTACAGAGGACGATTAAGATGGTTTTCTTAGCAGGAAAGAAATTGAGCATCAATGCAGGTGCCACTGTGCTGGGCATCTGGGGTCGCTAATTCTGCCCTCTGCCTGGTATTTTCTGATTGTGTTAGCTACATCCATCATTGCAATCTTTCTAGACTCAGTCTCCTCATCTGTAAAATGA